AAAAAGTAGGGGCCCACAAGTTTGGTTGTCTAGGGCCCACTAAAGGGTTAATCCAGCCCTGCCCAGGACCCGGGTGGATAAGGCTGCTGGGGACAACATAGTTGGTGGCCCCAACCTCCCCTACCCCACCCGGCATAACCTGCCACACACCAGAGCGCACACAGCACGGGCTTTCCTTGGGGACAAGTAACAGCAGCACAAGGTATAGCGCTGCTTTTTGTCCCCAGGCAAACGTATTCCCACTCCTTTGGAGGTACCCACAGGGGTTTATTCGAGCCTTTTGCTACATTCTCTGCTTTGGGCCCGTGCAGAGTTTCCCAACTAAGCCAAGATATTTGGGTTTCACAATCCCTTCAAGAACGTCTGAGGTTATGTGCAGCTGCACCCTTTAGTGAACCATAGCATCTGCTCCCCTCTTATTATATAAAGCAACAAGAAGCTTTTCAACACTAATTTCCCTGGGTAGTCTTGATTCTGCCTCATCTTCAAAAACAAAAATCCCTTTGCTTTGCTCTTCTTAATTCTGTTTAACATGCTTTCCCTCCCACAGGGCTTTAAATCAATCCATTTTGGATGGAATTTACCCTTAAAAACCTGCAATTGTTCCTCTATATTAAAAAGTTGCTAATGTTGCAATTAATAGCTTAAAAAGGAGTAAAAGGTAATCAAGGAAAATACAGACCAGGGAGGTTTACCTAACTCTCTCATGCTTGTTTTTGTCAATTTGTTAATGTGTGTGTAGCAGCCTTTGAACCTGGCTGTTGCATATTCATTTATTATGTAATATTATCTTACAAGTATTTTTATAACTTCAGTACCTGGCAAACACATGGTGAAATTAATCCAATACCAAACAAGTTCAGGCCATCAGTAAGTGTGACTTCGCTGGATCAAATGGCCTTTCTGTTGTAAGAAAAACTGTGTTCCTCGAGCCTCCTGGGACCTTCTGAAGAAGGGAAATAGCTGATAAAGAGTGTTCTGGGGCAGAGTGTATTTGGGTTTTCTGAGAACTTCTGATAAGGTCCCTTATAAAAGATGTATTTGCAAGAAGATAAGGGAGTACAGAAGTACAAGGAAGAGTGTTACAATCTAGTTAGACACAGTCCCTGTGCGGACATTATTTGGTTTTGTTTGAACAGATTCAGTGTCATTTTTAAATAAATTGAGATAAAGCTGGATACATTGAAATCAGGGTTTGCACTAGTTTTAACTCAGTCAGTTCTCATGTAGACAAAGCTTAAATGATACCAAAATGGGGCCTGCTTATTCTGAAATAAATAAGATTTGGACCAAAACAATTAAAGGTGAGAATTATAAGTAAAGAAGCTATTTTGTCCTAGTTGTCATGTCCTTAGCAACAGAGACTCAGTGAATCAATATTCCTCTGAATGGAAAGAGGTTGATAGTGGAGGGCTTCAGGGTCTGTATTGAGACATCATGTGACTAAAGCATAAGCAGCTACACCAAAGCTTATCCTCCACAACACACAGGGTTTGCAACAGCACAGCTGTATGTGTAGCTGGTCATTGATTGCTAGGACCAGAGCAAAATCTCAAGTAAAAAACAAGAAGAATGCTGTATTTACTGGAATCTAAGATGAGGGTCGCACCCCCCCCCAGTCAGCATGGGGGGGAAAGCCCCTTGTCTTAGATTCATGTACAAAGTGGAGTGGGGGGCAGATGGCTGCTGCAGCTCTGACTTGCTCTGAGCCCAGGTTGGGGCCAGAGTCAGACTCACCCATAGCAGTCCCCTTCCCTCCCCCTTGCTGCTTGCCCTCTGCAGCTTCTGCCCCCACCCTGTTTCCCTCCTCCCTTAAGTTACTGTCAGGCACAGCCCAGCTTGACTGGGGCTGGATTCCCTCCAGGGCACAGAGCGCATGGCAACTCCATTCCCTGCCTGGCCAGTCAGTAGTGCCAACACTGCTGCATGGCCAGCAAAGACTGCTCTTCCATGTGCCGTGTTCCCTGGAGAGAACAGGGCAGTGTCTGACAGTAAATGGGGTGGATGACAGAGGCAGAGACTGGGGAATGGCGTGGAGGGGAGGAAGAGGCAGAGGCTGCCAGGAGCTGGGGGTAAGGGTGTTGGGGTGGGGAGTAGGATGGCTGCAGGGAGAGGTCAGGACAGAGGGCAAGGGGGCCCCCAGCTACTGCTTTCCCTGTTGTAGTAGTCAGGGTGAGGGAATGAATTCAAGACAATCCTCTGATACTTAGGTTCTATACCTGGAGAGTTATAACAACTTTTAAATTGTCCATATATATAATCTCATTATGGGGGCTATCTTGAATTCAGGGACATCTTAGATTCAAGTAAATATGACACTTACACAGTTTGCCTCTCACTGTGGCTGACATGCCCCTACCCCAAAGCAATCCCCAGCTGCCAGAACGGTGAAGCCTTGGAGTCAGCAAAAGCAGATATAATTACAACAGCTCTGAAGCAGGTCTTCACTTATGCTAAGGGCCCTGAACCTGCATAGAACAGCCCTGAGCCTGGGTAAAAAAAGTTGGCTTATTTTCTGATTACATCAGCAAAGAGCTGCCAGAAGACAGGCCAAGAGGCAAAACTGGCTAAAAGGTGAGTTTATCCGTGGGTGGAAGTTGTATGAGTCATCAGCATAAAGATGGTATGATAAAAGCACGCAAGATAAGTTGCAGAGGGAGATGAGAAAGGAAAGGCCAAGAATTGAAGGAGTGAGGAGATAGGAGCCCGTCAACTGAGAATCTTCTAAGGCAGCATTTCTCAACCCATGGGCCATGACCCAAAAGTGGGTGACAAGAATATTTCAAAGGGTCGCGAGCTGCAGTAGGGCAGAGGGGTGGCGGGAGGAAATGCTGCTTGGGGGCGTGAGAGGAGCCATAACCAGGCTGCCTGGTGTGGCGCAGCAGCCCCAGCACAGGGCAGAGGGGGCGTGCCACAGGCCTCTTCTCCTCCTCCCTCTAGCCAGTGCTGCAGCCGGACTCACTCCATTGCCGCCTGCATGAGCTAGAGCTGCTGCAGACACTACACTCTGGTCCGAGCAGGATGGGGGCAGCTGGGTGCCCCTCTGGCAGGGGCTTGCAGGTTGGGAGTGAGGGACACGAGCATGGCCCAGGGGGGCAGGGGACTGGGGGTCGGGCACCGGCAGGGACAGGGAGGTGTAGGTCAGGACAGGCCATGGATCTTTGCAAATGGGTCCCTGTCGGAAAAAGGGCGAGAACCACTGTTCTAAGGGACAATTAACAGCTGCTCTTACCATGCGCTCCAAAAGGGGCATCCAAGAGCAGATGGAGAGTGCAGAGCTGTGTTGCTGTGACCACTGGGCTCTCTGGCAAAAGAATGACCATCTGCGGAAGCTGGGAAGGACTACTTGGACCCTTCTAGCTGCTAAATAGACAGCACCCAAGGGGCATGGTGACTGAGGCACCTCTAGTGTTTTAAAGCTTTGGAAGGATTATAACTGGGGCTCAGAAATATTTCCATCAATACATCTCTAGTCTGCACCAAAGTACTTAAATGCCCCCAATTCCTGAAGTATCCAAGTAGTTAATGATATTTAATGTAAACCTCATGAGAATACTTCTGTCAGAGATTTTACAGATGGGAAATTGAAGCACAGAGAGGCAAGGTGACATGCCAAGTTCTCACAGACAGCCTGTGGCAAAACAAGGACTCAAACTCAGGTCTTCCAAATACCCCAGCAGCACCCTAATTACTGCATCATCCTTCCCTTTACATACAGGGGCAACAGTCACACCTTTGAGCACTGAGTTTCAGTTATTTCTATGGCCACCACAGGTGTTGTTAAGACACCCTTTAGTCTAAAGATTAGTATTCCTCTGTTACGTGAAGAAATATTTCTGATAAATTCAAATAGTCTATTAGTAGCCTAGCAACAGTCAGATATAGGCCTGTGTTCACTGTCCTATAGTTCCAGCTAAATCCCCTGCTGTGCCTATAATCAACCCTAAGTATTTGACAAGCAGGAGGATGGATCATCAAAACCTACCCAGGCAAGATTTTGGATAAAGAGGATATTTATTAGGGGACTGCAACAAAAATCTGTGTTTGTGACTTAGGAAAGATCTAGGGAATCTGTTAATAATACCAGTAGTAAACTACTGCACTTAGGAAATGAAAATTGAGACCAGAATTGTAATACTTACTTTTGGCTGATTGTGTAAACAGATTTCTGAATATCTCCATTTGTCTCTTCATTTGCACTTTACTGTTACTCAGTCTATGACATCCAGTGCAGACGGATACTATAGACTGCCATTTTACTCCATATGAATTAATTTTTGTAATCAAATTGCCTCCTATCACATCATTAAACTCCATATTCCTAATCCTAGTGGTGGTGTCAGAATTTAGGCTGAATATTAACACTGTAACGTGACCCAAGCCCAGTAGGGGGGAGGTGATTACTTATTTATGACCTAATTGAGCAAGTACGTATTCTTAATCTGAATAGCAACACAGTTCAAGTTTACAGAAACAGAAATAACCATCCAACGTATCCAAGAAACAAGCCTGTGAGCTTAATCCACAAAGTGGAAGAACACTGAATATTTCTCCTACCTCAGAAGCCATCGTTTGCAGAAGGCTGACATTGATGAAGAAATCAAACATTGCCTTAAATGTGCAAGTGCAGTCTTCAGATGCCTGAGGAAATGTATGTTCAAAGGATGTGACATCAGATCCAAAACCAAGCTCATAGTTTATCAACCAGTTGTGATTCCCCACCTTACTGTATGGAGCTGAGACATGGACAACGTAGAGGAAACATCTCAAGTCATTGAAGAAGTACCATCGACACTGCCTGCAGAAGATCCTTCAAATCGAGGGGGGAGACAGCCACACCAACATTAATGTCCTCTTGCAGGAAAACACCACAAGCATCAAGGTGATGCTCATTCAACATCAATGACACTGGGCCAGCCACATCATCCAGATGTCCAACTCCAGACTCTCAAAGCAAGTTTTATTCTCCCAGCTCAGTCGAGGCATACACTCAAGAGGAGGGTAAAGAAAGCACTTCAAGGACGTCTTCAAGGCCAACTTGAAAAAAATGCAACATCAACATTAAATCATGAGAGACTGTCACACAGAACCACCCCAAATGGAGAAAGAGTCTACTGTAAAGATCTCAGTACTTTGTAACCTTACAATGACAGCAGGAGACAGAAAAGCAGGAGCAGCAAAAACTGCATGTCGTGGACCAAATCAAGAGTCTGGAGGCACCCACCCTGCATGGAAACATGGGCCCAAGTTCCAGCAGAGTGTGTCAATCCCAGATTAGCCTCATGAGCTAACTTTAGACCCACAGATAGGACAATCAGGGAAGACAATCATCCTCTGTGAGGGATTGCCTAAGTAGTTTCAACTTGTATTCAGTACTACATAGTTATGGAAAACTAAAGTTTTGATTGCATTCAGAATACCACATTTTCACTAAATAAAAGCCTCTATAGCATTTTGCACTGATGGCACAAAAAGCCTCTGAAAATGTAGCTTTGCATTTAAAATAGAGGAATCACTGCAAATGTAGCAGGCAAATGTGTGTCTATTCTGTAAACCAAAGATTCTTCTTACGATGCTTCATCTCCACCTATTTCTACTCAGACCAGTATCAGTGCAGCTTGGTCTTGAGTACTTTGAACTATTATGAAAAATCTCAATGGGACTATGCGTAAAACACAGCCCTATGAATAAAGCCACTAGTCATAATTTTAAATTATCCTTACTTTTACTCTTCATCAGGCAGAAAAGGTCCAGTATCCAATCAGAAAACATAAAGACTAACACTGTTTCTAGCTTCTAAAACAAGGAAATTAATTTTATACAATTAGCCAAGACATATTCACATATGAGGAATTGGGAATAGTACCTGTTTAATTCTATTAATCAGCATTTTAATGCATATATTAAACTAGCATATGCTAGCATATGCAAGTTTAAACTAGCATAATGCATATATTAAAACTAGATGTACAAAATAGTTTGCAATGCTTAGTCATTTACTATCTTAAAATTTTACCATGCAAATATAAAAATAAACCACAAGAATGTGATAAAAGTCAGCAGAAGTTCTCAGAAGAGTTCAATCCTTAGTAAATCCAAGGGAAGTAAATGTACCTTTATAACGACATCTATGATTTTGGGTTCTTTTTGCTTCTTCAAAAGACCTCATATTGCAGGAACAGATTTTTATGCTCAGAGTTGCATTACAAAAGAAGAGCAATACAATAGAGATGCCCAACATCTTTAAGGCCTTGGGCAAAAGTAAATGGCTGCAATCAGTCTGTGCATGGGTGACTGGTGCCTACCAAGTCTGGCAGGAGCCAGTGATGGGAGGTGGGAAGCCAATTTTAGGGGGGGCACAGGTTCTCTCCATGCCCCCTACCAGCCAGAGTGCTTGCTGCCGGGGGGGCACCAGCACTCTCGGGGGGGGGGGCACATGCCCCCCTGCACCCCACCTACATGTGACCTATGAGTCTGTGCATATTTATGAACTCTTCCAGTCTCAGCTTTGGCAGCAGTTCAAATTAAGCTAGCTTTAGGCTAGGGACAGACATTCAAAAACCCTGAGCCTGAATTGATTCAATCTTTTCAGGTTAGTCTAACCTGGCTAGGCTAAATCAGTTTTGTAACTGGGCAGACATCCCAGAAATGCAGGCACATGCCTGCAGTGACTCAGGCTAGAAGCTGGGAGGTGCTGGAGCAGCCCACCCCCCTTCCTTCAATAGCATGGAGCTGAGGGGAACTGGCCAGGCTCCGGCAGGATGCTGTGATTAGCCCAGCAGGGAACTAATAACAGTGTTTATCACCCAATTAAGGCAACAACAGAAGGACATTACCAGCTACTTGTTGATTCTGCCTGTTGATTCTATCTGTTGATTCAACACAGCCCATAGCCAGGGAGCAGAGGGGAGGGGCCAGCCCTGCTGTGGAACAGAGAGCATGCCAGGATGCTGGGGGTGTCTTATCAGCAAGGGGTCTGCGACAGACATTACATAAACCAGTTTGAGCCAAATCAGTTCAGTCTGATACTACATTGTAACTTGCCGTGCCTGTCCGGAGCTCCCCACTTAGGCTTTTCTAGCCACCCTGAGCAAACTGCAGTCCTGTGGACTGACAGTTTGCCCCAACACCAGTTACCTAGACCACCGAAGCTTCTCTCCTGCCACATCTTTGATGGAAATTTTAATCTCTGGGGTTCCTGTTACTGTCAGCTCAGTGGTGTCTTGCTAACATCACTTGTTAGCACAAGGATCTTGGGGCTCCATCTCCTCTACACTCCACCTAATGCCAACCTGTTGTTACTCTGATGTTGCACGGACGCAGTGTTACCACCAGTCGTCACTCTCATTCTGTCCTGTAGGTCTGGTGTCGTCCTCTCAGCCCTCTCCACTGTAGGGCTTCCAGGTCTCCTCTTCTGGTATAAACCTTCGATAATAGTCGGCCAAACCCAGAAAGGAGCATGTTTGTTTGTTTGTTTGTGGAGGTTTATATTGCTCTATGGTCTCTACTTTGCTCACCAGTGGGCGTATGGGCCCCTGTCCCACACAAAACCCAAGGTAGTTGCTCTCATGCATTCCCAATGCACACTTGTTAGTGTTCGTGGTCATCTTAAACTGGCATAATTTTTGTAATACTGTTCCACATGTTGCTGATGTTCCAGCCATGACTGAGAATAAATTACAAGATTGTCAATGCATGCCGCTGTGTACCTTGTATGTGGCTCTAGGATGTTATCTATCGGCCTTTGAAAGGAGGCTGCCATGTCATGGAGGCCAAATGGCATCCGTGTGAATTCAAACCGTCCCCATGGCATACCGAAAGCTGTTTTTTGTTGGTTTTTCCTTGCCATGGGGATCTGCCAGAGTAGAGATACACTTTGCCTGACCTATCCATTCCAGTAGCTCTTCTGCATGTGGCATGGGGAATGCATTGAAATGCGCCACTGTGTTGAGCCCCCTGCAAATCTTTAGTTACCTGTGGATTTCAGTACAGCCACCATGTGGCTTCTCCAGAGGCTTTGTGATGGTACTATCACCCCTTGTCTAAGCATTTTCTGTATTTCCTCATATACCTGCATTTGCAGGTGGTGGGGAACTGATCTCCACTTTTCACCCCTTTTGGCATATTTATTTTGTGCACCGCACCCCTAGCCTTTCTGGGTACCTTGCTGAATACATCACTGAATTTGTCAATGATCCACCTCAGCTCCTTTTGCTGTTCATTGGTGAGGCTGTCTGCTATCTCTATCCCACCCCTTTGTGTGCTTCCTCCTACCTTGGGGCCTAGATCTTTGCTTATCTTTTCAGGACTCAACAGCCATCCCTCTGGCTCCCTCCAGGCCTTCAATAGATTTACATGGTAGATCTGGTGTTCCCTTAGGTGCCCTTGGTGGTGTACTTCATAATCTATGGGTCCAGCGCTCCTTGTTATCTAAAAAGGCCTTTGCCATTTGGTTAATAATTTATTTTCAGAAGAGGGAAGCAAAACCAACACTTTATCCCTGGGCTGAAACTCCCTCTCTCGTGCCTTTTGATCATAACTGGTTTTCTGCCATTGCTGTGCCCTCTCCATATTCACCTGTGCTAACCACTGCGCTTGCTTAAGGCATTCCATCATGTCCTGCCTATATTGTTGAGCCCCAACTTGTTTGTGCCCTGGCCTTTTCCACTCTTCCCTGGCTGCTTGCAATAGGTTTTGGGGCTTGTGGCTGAATATCAATTCAAAAGGTCTGAACTGGGTGGATGCCTGAGGTGCATCTCTCAGAGAAAACATTAGTTGCACAAAAAACAGGTCCCATTTCCTGGGCTATTTCTGCATGCTTCATCACAATAAGCATTTAATTGTGCCATTTAGGCGCTCCACCAAGCCATTTGTCTGGGGTGGTAAACTGATGATTGAAGATGCTTAACGCCCAGCATGCGACATACGGCCTTTAACACCCCTGACACAAAATTTTTTACCCTGGTCAGTAATGATTTCCCTGGGTACTTCGAAATAGGAAATCCATTTTAACAATTCTTCCGCGATCCAAGACATGGTGGCTGTTCAGAGTGGTATTGCCTCCAGGTATCGTGTGGCATAATCAATTAAGATGACTATGTACTGGTGCCCTGCACTACTTTTGGTGAATGGACCCACAACATCGAGGGCAACTCGGTCAAATGGAGTGTTAACGATAGGCATTACCTGTAAGGGTGTCCTCTGTGGCCGTCTTTCCTCTACCAACTGACACTCCACACAGGACCCACACCAGCGTGCTACTTCTTCTCGCGTGCCTGCCCAAAAGAACCATCGTTTGATTTTGCCTAGCGTTTTCTGTCTTCTGAAGTGTCTGCCTATGGGTGTTCCATGGGCCATGTCCCACACCTTCCCTTAGAATGCTCAGGGCACCAATAATTGTCGGACATGCTCACACCCTTCTGATTGCTTTATCTGGTATGATAACCCATCCCAAATCTTGAAATGTGGTCACTTACTTGTAGCTGCGGTCTCACAACTTGTCCTTTGACGCTGGCAACTTCATCTTCTCAGAGCCTCGTGAACTCTTCTTCATCTTGCACAATCTTGAAGCATGAGCCTGTTGGGCCCACTCCCAAGCTAATAAACGGTTCTTCCACAGAGGAGCTAGGCTCTTCTTCCTCTGCTATCCAGCCTTCTACTTGGGGCCATCCCTTCCTTTCCAATTCTGCCTGTTTTACTTTGTTTAGGACATCATATAATGGGGGCCAATCTCTCCCCACGGTCATTTTCCCATCGAGCTCTGGGGTGAACCCCACCTTATCTGGCCTGCTCTTTTGGCTATTCTAGCCCTCACATATCCTCTCCGATACCTTTCAGCCCCACCATGGATGCACCTCATCCTGGCTTGCACCACGTTATGGCGTTTTCTGGTATCATGCCAGATCATATGAGCATCTGCAAACAGCCTGTATTGAGTGTGGCCCATAAAGCCCATCCCACTATCCATGCTGTAACCTTGGGGTGGTCCCACAGCGTAACCTCACTCCCCTCGCTGAAGCTACAGTCCATCTCTTCCATGGGTTTGCTATTATCTCACCTTTCCCAGGGCCCTGTTGTGCCACCTGCTGGTCTCCAACAGTCATGTGGTCCTTGAGGACACCCTCAGCCACATGTCCAGTATGCCCACAATACTTTCTTCCCTGCCTGTCTTGAAGGGCCTCGATGACATTCCTCCTCCCTATGGTACTGTCTCCTCTCATTTTTATAAGACTTTTCCTTCACCGTCTCTAATCTGATGCAGCATAGGCTTTGGCGATTCTCTGGGCCTCTTCAGCCGACTTAGGCAGATGTCGCCTTACCCATAATTGCATCCCTCCCTCTAGGTCTTGGATAAACTGTTCTAACAGTATTTGGTCTGCAAGCGCCTCCCTGCCTACTGTGGCTGAGGGAACCCATCTGTCTAACAGATCTCTTAATAGCTGCATCAAGGTCTGGGGTTTCTTATCATCTTTCTCTTTTTTAGCACTAAAGAGTCTCCTGTAGTGCTCTGGGGTTAATTCAAACCAATGTAGAATTGCCCGCTTGACTGTCATAGTCATATGCTTCGTCCCTGGGGAGCGCCCTATATGCTGCTTGGGCCTTTCCAATTAGTAGTGACCCTAACTGCCCCACCCACAGGAATCTATCCAATCCAGTTTGTATGGCACTCACTTCAAAGGCCTCTATAAATGCTTCAGCACCATCTTTTGACTTTTTGTGCATTTTAAAAGGCAGACAAGTTATGCCTCAGCCATTCATTTTGCTGTAGGGCTTGTTAAGTACTTTCATCACCACTT